AGGAAATATTAGTCAGAGAATTAGAAGAGAAGTTGTACTTGTTAATATTTTGTGTTGAAGAGATATTATTGTTTGTTTTTACTGTTGTTGTAGATTTAGTTGTAGGGGTGTTAGAATGGTTTCTTTGTTCAATGGGAGGAATAGGGTTAGAAGAGGAATTCGTATTTTCGATATGTGTGTATGTTTTTTCAGAATTATTGTTATTAGTGATATTTGAGGTGTTACTAGTTTTGGAATAAGCGGACAAGTTTTTATTGTTTGTTGTAGCTGCTGTTGATATTGTATTTATTTTGCTTGTGTTTGCGCTCAATGCTATGCCAGCGTAAGAGTTACTGGGTGAGCTTTCTATATTTAGTTGTTGTTTGTGTTTTTTTATAGCTTCACTCATTGAGCATTTATTTATGGTTTTTATTTTTATAATTTCTTTGGCTTGTAGGAATTTTGTACAGTCTTTGGACGAGGAGGGGTGTGGTTGGAAGCAGTTAGCGCAAAATGTGCGTTCACAATCGGTTGGGGAGTGGGGAGGGAGAGAACAATTTACACAAAGAGGAGAGCGTTTACAATTATTTTTAGTATGGCCAAGGAGCTGGCAAGATTTGCAGCGCATGGGAAGAGGTATATATTGGCGGACGAATACTTTACACCAGGCAATGTCAATCTTACTGGGCAGATGATAAAGATTAAATGTAAGCAACACAACTCCTGAAGGGTGAGGGTTACCATCTGAGATTTTTTTAAATTTGTATGCCGCTACAACTCCTTGAGCTTAATTCGTTCACAATTTCTTCCTCGGGCACATTATTAAGAAAAGGGGCATACACAGTGCCTTTCACGTGGTTGAGCGCTTCGTGTAGCTTGGCTTAAATGGAACATACATTTTCTAGTTGTTTCACTTTTAAGAACTTGTCGGCGATTTTATTGTTTTTTTACGAGGAGAAGCAGTTTTCCGTCACGAAGGATAGAAATGGAGTGGACTTCACTACTAATTTGTTTAATACCACGATGTATGGCAAAGCACGAGTAAGAAGAAATAGGTTTGGACGAATCGGTTGATTCGATCACGACGAATTTCGGGTCATCCACTTTAATTTCAGGGAGGAAGGGAAAGTCGGTTTGAAGAGCACTTGAATCAGTTTTATGTTTCTTTTTTTTTGGTCCAGTATCTAGTAACGCAAAGCGATTTGCGTTGATGTTTGGTGGCCCCGGGGCCATAGCTCACGTGTTTTATTTTAAATTCACATAATCGAAGGTTTGCGTAGGTACAGAAGTACGAAAGAAGTAAAGAAAAGGAAAGAAAATTAAGAGTACTCAAAAAGCGGTCTGACCGAATTGAGAATGGAAGTAATCAAAAACTCCGTAAGCGAAAAACAAACGTCTTATCAGCGCGAGAGTTAGTCGATGACTGCGAAATTACATTTTAATATACATTACGTACATATCGAGGCCTAACCGCCAAAATAACGTAAGCGACAAAATTTTCTTTTTGATGCAGAAATGCTTCTAAATGCTCTAGGACTATTTCTGCAACAAAAAGAAAAAAATGTCGCTTACGTTATTTTGGCGGTTAGGGCTCGATATGTACCTTTGTATACAATAAACGTTTAATAAGAACAATTTTTTGTACATTCAACTGAAAAAGACGTTTTTGGGTAGGAAATAACGTTCTTTCAGACCAAGAGGGACGTTATCCCATGCTGAAGACCTGGCAACACTGGCTACAATGGTCCGGTAAGCGAAAATTGGGGTTTAGCGCGAGCTCGTCAGAGTAAATCCCGCTACCCACTCTTTTATTAAGCTTGAAACTATCTGTATATATGGCCGTACGCCTTGGGTTCAAGTCTGTGGCCCCTTTTCATTCATTCCTTTCTGGGATTCTTGTGGAGAATTCGTTGTCCAAACAGAGTAGATTATCAAGTACTTTTGCGTACTCGAATCTGAGGTCTCCCCACGGCTGGATCGTATTTAAGCAGACTGCAGCCGGTCCGAAATTTGCCGTAGAGATCCACAGGTGGAAGATTTAACATTACTTCAGTGTGTAGTGTGCAGTGCTCCCGTGGCGAGCATGACAGCTGTTCTCTGCACTCGTTCCACCATACGATGAAAAGGATGCGTCCTATCACAGATGTGGACATACAGTGTACTATAAATGGTTTTACTTATTACCCATTTTTTGCCTATAGCCGTCGTACAGGCATACAGGGCGTTATGGCTTTCTTGGAGCGTTCTTAAATGTTCCGCTTCCAGTCCAGCTTCTTGTCTAGAATAACTCCAAGGTATTTAACTTCGAATAAGAGAGTAAACCTCGTCTAGGGTAGGAGGTTTAAATAAAGTAGTTTTATACTTATGGAAAGTACCATTTCTGTCTTGGTAGGATTGACATTGACTAGACCGAGTGCGTTTTGCAATAACTCACTCAGGACCTGAAGATGTTTGCCCGTTGGCACGATTGCTATGTCATCAGCGTATACTATGACTTGACAACCGATGCCCTTTAAGCTTAGAAGTATTGTATTCATGGTAAGATTCCAGAGTAGAGGGGAGAGAATGCCTCCTTTGTGCTTGTATCTGGTCACAGACTTTGTAATATAACCATCCCCCCGTTCTTATAAAATAGTTGTCTTTTCGAGAAGGTTCTACCAGACCCCGCTGCACCCCCGCCATAAGAAAGGAGTTTATAACAGACTATGGGTAGGCATTGTTGAAAGCACCCTCGATTTCGAGAAAAACTCAGAGCGTGTATTCCTTTAAGGGCAATCCTTTTTCAATCGTCGATACGGTTTCGTGAGGTGCAGTCTCCACGTACCTATCCTTGGAATGTGTAGGCTGATTCGAGGAGACGCTGTATGTTTTTATAATTCGTTGAATATATTAGCCGATGAGCCTTCTAGAGTTTTAAGAAAGAATGAAGTGGGGATTATAGGCCTGAAATCCTTCGGTTTAGCATGAGCGACCTTTTGGTCGGAATACAATTTCGCCTTTGCCTTCTCATATGGTATTTGAGTTAGAGTTGTGCAGGCTATAAAATCTGAGAAAGCAGGGGCACAGTATGTCCTCAGATATCTGTAGTTGAGCGGGAAAGATTCCGTCAAATCCCGGAGATTTGTAGGGCTGAAAAGACATTAAAGCCCATTCCACACTCTCATTACTTACGACGTCCCTGACGGTATGACGCAGAGATAAGTAGGTCCTAGGACCAGGAGAACTGCCGGAGGTGTCGTCTGAGCAGCCCGTGAAGTGAGCGCTCATAAGGACCTACAGAATTTCGTTACATGAAGACGTCCAATAACCATTCGGCTTCTGGATACAGTCTTGGATGTTGTTGCAGAAGTTTTGGCAAGATCCTGCTTTCGCCTTCTTTTGACAAAGACCCGTTCGCTTGGATTGATTGAAGAGCCTCCTGCTTTGTTTCTTCAGTGCTTAAATTTCAGGATTCCGCCACTGAGGATTCTTTTTGCCCTTCGTGATGGTGCTTGGGCAGGAGGCTTTGAAAGCAGCATTACAAGCATTTGTCACAAAGTTCACTGCTTCGTAAATTTCTGACGATGAATCCTTGCTCACCTAGAGAAACAAACTTCGTATTCGAGAGACTCGCTTCATCAGGTCTTAACGACAAGCAGGACTGATCGCGGGAAGCGTATCTGTTTAGAGAGGCCGAAAGCGTATTTTTGTACTTTGCCCAGTCGGGTCGCTTCTTCGTGCAAGACCAATAGTGAGCTTAAAGCTAATGTAGAGTTGGTCCGAAAATTAGTTTTCTTTCACCTGCTAGTCCCTTATCCGATCTGACAAACCGCGCAAAACAAGGGTGATGTCCAGCACTTCCCTTCTAACCAAGAATGATAGAATACAAATATTGCGCCGATAGGGGTGCAAAAATTTTTCGTTCTGCGCATCTACGTCATAATATAAAAGTTGTTGTTGGCGATCTCTCAAATCGTATACAATTTCGACGAAAAAAAGTAAATATAGCATAAAATTTAGTTGAAAGACTAAAATAAAACAATCTGGTGGCAATTTATTGAATCGAGAAGTCGGTAAATTTATTTTGTGTTTCTTTTACATTATTTATATTATTATTTTATTCCAGGTAGTGAGTAGGGCGTTCAAATAAAAATTGCATTCTGTGGCCGCCGTTGCGCTGGCAAATGGAACGAGTAAGATTTCCAAATGAAATTGAAGCCACAGCAAATAGTGCATAGCTCCAAGGCTTGGAAACAAATATAGAAGCTATACGATGCCAGAAAGACTACAGAGAATCGAAGAGCGCTAACCAGGAAACAGCGTAAAAGGGCCAATTCGTTGAGCAAGGGCGTGCTCATAGCATGGTAAGTAGCATCTGCGACAATACATTACTTTTTACTAACTTCCAATGCGTACTTATTTCAGGAAATACAATGCAAACGGTGCCAACATAAAATTAAACTGCCAAGGCATAAGCAAGAAATTTTACCTGAAACTGTGACGCCTGCCCACAGCATCAAATAAGGATATCGTTCCAATGAAACCCAATATTAACGACGTATTTTGACGACGATGAACTCTTTGCGAATGCTCCGGGTTTTCATCACCGGGCTTGTAAATTGATGGCACGGAGCCTCGTTTCAACAATCTTCTTTTTGCATAACCTTAGAAATGTTTTAAACACTTTCATTAATATAAACAAAATAAACGAAATAAATAAACATCGTACCCACTTCAAACTGCAGACTATTTTCAAAATCTTCACTTGCAAAGTGATGCAAGCAAATATAGCAAGTTTTAAATTGGAAATCCTTGCTTTGCCGGCAGAACTGGATCCACTTTTTCCTAAGTTCTGGATCTGAAGGAAAAGTAAACAAACTGCACTCTGCCGCCGTTTTTCCACATTTCGCAACTGCGCACTTCATTTTACAACGTTTTTATTTTATAACTTTAACAAAAATATCACAAATCAATACGTTTTCCTCGCAAACCAATACGTTTCCCTCGCAAACCAATACGCTTCCCACCAAAAATTTTATATTATGACGTCAACACTCGAACAGCTGATTTGTAAACAAGAGTAACGGACCTGCGCAAAGCGCAATCTCTTTATTCTATCATTCTTGATTTCTAACAGAGGCCACAAAGGTAGGTTGTATACAGTAAGATTAAATAAAAGAATAAAGTCATATAATAAAAAATCTATCTATGTGAGGCTTTTAATAGCCAGCCAGTTCTACCTAACCCAACCTAACCTATCGCTGAGGCGAAGAAGGAGGGCAGCCGAGGCTGCCGTGGAGTGGTGCAGATTAATTTGTAGGATCTGCACGATCTTCGGAGTTAGTGCTTCTGGTGTCATAGTCCTCCTCCGGTTCGGAAACCAGACCCTGGTACTCGTCCTGCATTGCCCACCTACTGTAGATCGACCCTACGTAGGCAGATACTGAGCCCGCGTCGCTTTAATTATCTAGCGTGGTATTGGGCACACCCGTAGGTAGGTCCACAGGTCCACTCGTGGTGTTTCCTGTGGACCCCGCGCTGTATGCCACCGATGCCGACTCGGAAGAAGCAGGTCCTTCGTCGGTAAAATTGTCCGTAGGAGAGGATAGGATCGAGGCATTTCCCGCTTTCCGCGACGCTTGCGCCGAGACAATGAAATGGTGTTGTCTTGAAGTTGGGTACTGAAAACCGTAAGAAAGAAAGGGGGCAGAAAAGAGAAAGACGAAATGAAAAAAAATGAGAAAGCATAAAAAATTTAGACGTTTATTTGAGTATAGCGCGCTCTCATTTGTTGGCGTTATAAAACGGTTAGCGCCCTAATTTAAAGATGGCATTTACACTAAATATACAGTTAAACCCGAGGAACTGTTAGCTTTTGTCTTGAAAGGGTCATTTATAGTGCTGTCAGTTGTTCCAATAAAATTGCATTAATATTGAATTAACTTATGTACATATATGTATGTATATCTCTTTTAAATTTTTTCATTTCAGTTGGGTAATTTTGATATGGCAACGCATTGTGTAAATCAATTAAATGAATTCGGTGCACTGCAGGCAAACGATATGGCTCTTGTAAATGCCAGCATTATTGACTATGAGCACAAAAATTATAGTGCTGCACGCGAGAAGCTAGAACGCGCTCTCCAAGTGCAACCAGATAACTTTGAAGCTAATTATAATCTCGGGCTGGTCGGGTTGCAAAGCAACAATTTGGAGATAGCTGAAGAGCAATTTGAACAGCTGAAAGTACAAATGATGGTGCCACATTCAGTACAACATACTAACGTATATTTTCAGTTGGCAAATCTGCAGGAAATGTTGCATCAGAATTCTGTTCCAGGCAATATTATTCAAAATACCTTAACATCAGCCGCACTGCATTCTTATTTACAAGTTTTGGGGATCTCAGCAGCCGACACCGATTCACGACTGTTCGAGAAGGTTGGCAGCATTTACGAGCAGATGCAGGATCATCAAGAAGCTAACCAGTATTACAATGAAGCTTACCGCATTAACCCAAGTGATATAAACATTGCAAGCTCTATTGGTTCATATTACATCAAATTACAGGCAATAGAGAAAGCTATTTATTATTATGAGCGTGCAGTACTAACAAATCCTAACGATCCGAATCTTATGCTGCGATTTGCAAGCTGTTTCCGCAATTCTTACTTATCTCCTAAAAAATATTTTGGAATTTTCGAAAAGATTTATAAACGATTTCCCGATCATTTAACATGTATCCGTGCTTTGGTGCAAGTAACAAAATCACTCGGACTGGAAGATTTATATGAAAAATACTCTGTGGAATACTCACGCTTGCATAAAATACTAATAGAACGTAACATCAGTCAACGCTACCAGCATCAAAGGCTACCTTCAGCAATATCTACGAGAGGACACAGAGGCACTAGCGGTAATATTCACTTCCTTGCCTCTATTATATTATACCGTCCCAGAGAAAAGTATACATGCATACATATCTTTACCTCATAGTTTGAAAATTTAGCGAAAAGAAAAGTTATACAGCTGCGAATTTCGTCAAAGTGCTAAGTTTTATTAAACATAATTAGGTTGTTTACACTTACCTGGTTATCAGGTTATGTGGTTACGTGGTTATACACAGGTAACAATATGTATGCACATACTTCTTACCTCGATAATATGGCGGTTGACATACATACACAATTTTTTATCTATTCGAAAAAAAATCTTTGTATTTAAAAACGCGACGGTAGATCTTCTTAAGCAAACAATAAATCCTGATACAATTACATGGAGCTACAAAAAAAGTCATGAAATACACCCGGAACAAACCCAATGTAGGTTGTTGCTATGGTTGAGTACAACATGAAAATAGGTTTCGCATAGTTCCTGAACCCTTCGTTTTTATACCTTTCATGAGCATGAAATGGTATTATAACTTTGGTCCGATGTTTGTAAGTACCAGAACAAAAAGAGATAGACCCATTAAAATGTATACTTATATGATCAGAACGTCGAGCTGAGTTGATTTATCCATGTCCGTCTGTCCGTCTGTCCGTCTGTCTGTCTGTTTGTATGCAATCTAGTCTCTCAGTTTTCGAGATATCCGGATCAAATTTGGTAGGTGGGTGTATTTTTATAATGTATTAATCATTTGTCGGAACCGGAAGAATCGGACCACTATAACATATAGCTCCCATACAACTGATTGTTCAGATATGAGATTTTTCATTATAACTTCTCCATTTATGCAGCTACGAACATGAAATTTTGCAATACTTGCACCCATTATCAACAGAATACTTACAGTGAAAATTACAAAGATCGGGTCACTATAACCTATAGCTCCCATACAACTGATTGTTCAGATATAAAATTTTGCGTTATAACTCCTCCATTTATATAGCTAGGAACATGAAATTCCGCACTGTTTTCAATAATTATCAACAGAAAACTTACAGTGAAAATTAAAAAGATCGGGTAACTATAACCTATAGCTCCCATACAACTGATTGTTCAGATATGAGATTTTTCGTTATAATTCATCCATTTATGTAGCTAGGACCATGAAATTTCGCGCTGTTTTCACTCATTATCAACAGAAGACTTACAGTGAAAATAACAAAGATCGGGTCACTATAACCTGCAGCCCCCATACAACTGATTGTTCAGATATGAGGTCTTTTATCATAACTCCTCCATTTATGCAGCTAGGAACATGAAATTTCGCACCACTTTCACTCATTATTTACAGAATACTTACAGTGAATATAACAAGGATCGGATGACTACAACATATATCTTCCATACATCTGATTGTTCAGATATGGGATTTTACTGTAAAACTCCTTTATTTGAACAGCTAAAACCGATAAATTTCGTAAGATATTTTATAAATAATAATACAAAGTCTACTGAGAAAATCGTCAAAATCTATGCTGTATAAGCTTTATCTCCTATAGCACTGATTGTTCAGATACCAGTTTTTGCCATATATCTCCTTTATGTAGGAAACTAAACCCAATAAATTGTGTTACCGGTTTACATACCGATCACATAGCAGTGAAAATCACTTAGATTGGTGCCATATAAAGTATATATTCCATACCTCTAATTGTTTAGATGCGATTTTTTATATAAGTATGTAACTCCTCTATCGATGTATGCAGATGTATTCAAAAGCAGTCATCTGTCAAAGTAAAATTTGCAGATGTTCATGAAAGGTATGAAGCCTTCGGCATATCCGAAGACAGCGCTGCTCTTACTTGTTTTATTTCAAAACAACCGATTTTAAAAACCGAACATGTTTTGAAAAGAGGATTCATGGACCTTTTCAGTGGATTTGGGTGGCTAGACAGTTTTATTTTATATTTTTCTCCCAAGGTATACCAAAGTTCCTATGTATATTTTCATTGTGTACATACGACGGTGATCCCGTCAAGATCCTTAGCGTTTTAAATTGGAATCTTTGGATCCTGTAAATGTTGGTTGCACAGGTCGTACCCCACAGTTGAATACCATACATCCATATAGGCATAATGACTGTATTATATGGGCAAATCTAAAAAAAGGTACACTCTCAAAAAAATAATTTTAATTTTTAAATTTGTGAGCACACCTATGTTTTATATATCATTTTATTCGTACTCTCTTAATGAATCGATTAATATAAGTGTAATTCATTTTCATCAAGTGCTTCAAAAGTTAGACGAAGAATAAACATGAAATAGAAAACAAAAGAATAAGCTGGGTTCAAATTACGTTGTTCAAGTTGTAAATCTTGAGCAAAGATTTCGAAAGTTGAACTCACTTAATTGAGATGTTCTAAATTAAATGGCATCCCCCGTTTTACCAAATTAGCTCCGGTTTTCTAAATAACGGTATTTGTAAATTTGATTAAATTTTAACTATTTTATAAATAACTCCGTCAGTTTTGAAGTTATTTTACTAAAATTTTGCACATTACGGTTTTCTAAAATTACCTTAATTACTCCTTAAAATTATCGAAATAGGTGCACTTTAACGTATAGCTCCAATACAACTGATTACTCAGCTATGTGTTTTTGCGCTATAACTCTAATTTCATATATATTAAATAATCCCAACGGCTTTTTACCCTCCATTCCCGCCCAACCGACACGAGGGGCGCAGTCCGCATGACGTACGGAACCTTTTTTTTTTAGTTTTTTGGTGCCGAGTAGTGGATACAGGAGTTTGTTAAGTGTCGAGATCTAAAACTATTCAGCTACAGAATCAAATTCATCAGCTGATTGGATATGCTAAGGATAGTATTTCAATTATTGAGAGTGGAAATAATAGTTTTCTTTATAGTAAAAATCGAGTCCGATACGTCAAACGTGCTGGAATGACAGTTAAAATCCTGACATAAACCACGGAATGATTCGTTTAGTTCAAAATTAGTTTTGCATGGCTTTAAAAATAGAGGTCGAGTGTGTCTTGAAACTCGAGAAGGAACATTAAAATTTACCTCAGCCAGGAGGGCCGGGCTATTAATCAAGCCTGTCATTAATTTTACGATAAATATTATACCTAGCATTTCTCTACGGCTTGCGAGTGTAGGCAAATTTATGAGCTTTAGACGACTTGTGTAAGGGGGGAGATTGTAATCTGAATCCCAGTTAAAATTACGCAATGCAAAAAGCAAGAATTGCTTTTGAATTGATTCAATCCTTTCTGAATGAACTTGGTAGCGGGGATTCCAAACAATAGATCCGTATTCTAGTATAGGTCTAACTAAACTGGTAAAAAGACTTTTGTAACATAAGGATCTTTGAACTCTTTTGACCATCGCCTTACAAATGCAAAAACGCCTTTGGCTTTATTGACTGTAACATTAATATGATGGTTGAAAT